TCTCCAAGTTTCAGCTCCATACAGTAGAACTGCCTTGACGTTGGTATTGAAGATTCTCACTTTGATATTGGTTGAAAGTTGTTTTGAGTTCCATATGTTCTTTAACTGTAGGAATGCTGTCCTTGCTTTGCCAATCCTTGCCTTTACGTCTGCATCTGAACCTCCTTGTTCATCGATGATGCTTCCCAGGTATGTGAAGGATTCTACATCTTCCAGAGTTTCGCCATCAAGAGTGATTGGGTTGTTGTTTTCCGCTTTGAATTTGAGGACTTTGGTTTTCCCTTTGTGTATGCTGAGGCCTACTGATGCAGAGACTGCTGCTACACTGGCTGTCTTCATCTGCATCTGTTCGTGTGTACGTGATAGGAGGGCTAGGTCATCTGCGAAGTCCAAATCGTCTAATTGATTCTGAGCTGTCCATTGAATTCCGTGTTTTCCTTCAGATGTCGAGGTCTTCATAATCCAGTCGACCACCAGAAGAAAGAGGAAGGGAGAGAGTAAACAGCCTTGTCTGACTCCGGTCCTTACTTGGAATGCATCTGTCAGCTGTCCTCCATGCACGACTTTGCACTGTAGTCCGTCGTATGAGTTCCGGATAATGTTGACAATCTTCTCAGGAACTCCGTAGTGTCGAAGAAGTTTCCATAACGTCCTCCTATCCACACTGTCAAATGCCTTTTCATAATCAATGAAGTTGATGTATAGTGATGAGTTCCACTCAACTGATTGTTCGACGATGATCCGTAGTGTTGCAATCTGGTCTGTGCATGATCGATCCTTACGGAATCCAGCTTGTTGATCTCGAAGTTGGGCGTCTGTTGCATCTTTCATTCGGTTCAGCAACACTCTGTTGAAGACCTTCCCTGGTATTGACAGCAGTGTAATGCCTCTATAGTTTTCACATTTGCTCAGATCTCCTTTCTTTGGAATCTTGACGAGGTGCCCTTCTTTCCAGTCCATCGGCACTTATTGCTCCTCCCAAATCTTTTTGAATAGAAGATAAAGCATGTTTGTAGTTATTTCGATGTCTGATTTCAGTGCTTCAGCTGGTATGTTGTTGAGTCCTGCTGCTTTCTTGCTCTTGATTTGTCTGATGGCCATTCTGATTTCTTCCGTCGTTGGTTGATTGACATCTATAGAAAGATCTGTGTGCGCTGCTTCGATGTCCGGTGGATTCGTTGGAGCCGGCCTATTCAGGAGTTCCTCGATGTATTCTACCCATCTGTTCCGCTGTTGTTGAATTTCGGTGATTGGCTTGCCTTCTTTGTCTTTGACCGGTCTCTCTGGTTTACTGTATTTTCCTGCTAGTTTCTTCGTTGTATCGTAAAGCTGTTTCATATTTCCTTCTCTAGCAGCTTTTTCTGCCGTCGTTGCTAGTTCTTCCACATATTTCTTCTTGTCGGCTCTAATGCTCCTCTTCACTTGTTTGTTTGCTTCTATGTATTCAGCTTGTGCTTGGACTTTCTCTGCTCGTGTTCGGCTGTTGTTATGTGCTGCCTTCTTGTTCTTTCTTTCTTTGATCTTGTCCAGTGTTTCTGTAGAGATCCACTCCTTATGATGGTATTTATTTAGACCCAGAACCTCTTGACATGTTGAAGTCAGTGCTTCCTTGATGCCTTTCCAGTTGTCCTCCATACTAGTTTCTTCTTCTTTCAGTAGATCTTGTAAGGCTTGGAACCTGTTGTTGAGAGCTATCTTGAATTCAATGAGTTTGTCAGTATCTCGAAGGAAGGCTGTGTTAAACCTTTGTATTGCTGTTCGTCCATTTGTCCAGTTCTTTTTTAGCTTCAGTTTTAAATTGGCCACAACTAGGTGGTGATCTGAAGCTACGTCAGCACCTCTCCTGGTTCTCACATCTTCCATTGTCCTTCTGAATTTTTTGTTGATGCAAATATGATCTATTTGGTTCTCTGTAGTGTGGTCCGGTGAGATCCATGTAGCCTTGTGTATAAGCTTGTGTGGAAATATTGTGCCTCCTATGACCAATTTGTTGAATGCACATAGATTTGCAAATCTTTCTCCATTTTCGTTTCTTTCTCCCAGTCCATGTCGTCCCATAATATCTTCATATCCAGTGTTGTCTATTCCGACTTTGGCATTTAGATCTCCCATCAGAATAGTTAGGTCCTTCCTTGGGCATTTCTCAATAACTGACTGCAGCCGCTCGTAGAACTGATCTTTAATGTCGTCGTTGCTATCATTTGTGGGTGCATAACATTGGATAATATTCATTAAGATCTCCTCCTTCTTTGTTTTGAATGATGCTTTGATGATTCTGGATCCGTGAGATTCCCATCCTACAAGTGCATTTCGTGTTACTTTGGACACCATAAGAGCGACTCCCTGAGTGTGTGGAGCATTGTCCTCTTCGTGACCGGAGTATAGCAGCATCTCTCCCGTAGCTAGCCTTTTCTGTCCAGCTTGGGTCCAGTGGGTTTCGCTGATTCCCAGTACGGCTAAGTTGTATCTCCTCATTTCCAATGCTATTTGACTGGTCTTCCCGGTTTCCCACATTGTTCGAACGTTCCATGTACCTATAAAAATGTTTGCTCTGGTTGTTAGAAGGGGCATCGGCCTCTTGGCTTCCGAAGGAACTCGGCTTTCACCATGAAGCGTCATAATTCTTCTAAATGAAGACCTTCTAACTCCCAGGGCAGAGTTTAAATGGTTTGAATTATTTTTTCTGGTTAGCGTTTTTTTAGCGAGTTAGTTTTCTACGGGATGGGGACGCTAACCCCATGTCCAACCCTCCTTCTTTACCCCGGCTTGGGACCGGCAGTAACCCTATAAGAGCTACAGGCGGAGTTTATTAAAGCAATACTTGTATCCTAATAGACCGTAATTCTACAGATTAATGATAATCTCAGTTTACTTAGAAATATTCAGTCTGTAAATCGTTTTCAATGATTGCTGCATTTTAGACTGTAAAGCTTCCGTTTCTATAGAATTCAAGTACCCGCATAAAACTAAAGCAATCGAAGTGGTGACACTTTGCTTAGGATATGAGAATATATTCTTTCGGGATCGTATGTCGTAAAATTAATTGGTAAGTGAGAACATTATTTGGTTGCGTGATGTATTTTGTTTTCTCATACTTCTTGTCTGACGATACCAGAATATATAATATATAATTAACCAAACTTCTAAGAGCTAATCAAATGACCTGAACATTGTGGACTAACAATTTCATCAGTATGACATCACTCAGTAGTTACAAACACCACGTTAGATATAACTTCACAGTAAACAGTCGATTGAAGAAAGAGAACCTAACTGTTAGTCTGCATCCCAGTGGTTTCAGTCTACGGCTAAATATGCGGTTGTGACAACGAGACGATATATTGAAAACATGCCAGGCCGGTAACTCAGTTCATAAAACTTACTCTAACGCATGATTTTCTCTGATTATCAGTCACTGAATATCAGATATATACATACGTTTAGTCAGCGAAAATCACTGGTACCAAATCTCAGTGAACTCTGTGACTTGTGTAAGTATCAAATTATCCACCATTGTGCTTGGAAAAATTTAAACAGTAGTACGATTACAAAGACTACCTTTGAACTGTTTGGCCCTATACTTAGTCTAGAAAATTACAAAGACTAGAAACTACCTAAAATAAACTTTATCGAAAAACATTTTTCAAATTAACGAAACTCAAGAATAGACGGTTGTTATTTCAGGGGTTAAACGGAGGCTCGGTATAAACTTTATTTTGCAACCAGTTGTGCTGCGTTCCCGCTTCGTATCGTAACCTATCTATCCTAGCTCCATTTACGTCGAGATCATGTTAGAAGGTTCATTATCCAGAAGACGTAGTTTATTCCTATACACGCTTACTGAATTTGACCATCACTGTGCTCGTACAACAAATTACTTAGGTTTCCGTGAGACTAACTTGAACATTCCCTCAAACTAAGGACTTGGGTGCGTCTTGATGATGTAGCATTTTTCAAGATGTGCGTGCAAGTGCTTGGATATTTAGGTATACGTATAGACCACGAATTTTCACAGCGGTGGTCGTTTTGAGCCTTTGAATTTGGTATTGTAGTCTCTGCAGTTGTTCTACTAGATCAACCTTTCTAATTTTTTACACAAGCCGCAACGAACTTGTCCGAAAATATTAACGTTATGCGAAAAACCCGTCTAGCTTCCGAGGGCTGCATAAGTTTTATCAGCTTCCCGTACTCCCGGAATAACTAATACGTGTACCACACGACATTGACATTCTGTTTATTTAAATGTAAAATAAGAAACAGACAGTGAGTTATCGATGCATACATAGGCAAAAAGCACTTCTAAAAGCAAGTTGTCTGTAAGACTGCGCGTATTTTGCTGCGTTTATTAATTCAAATGGCATCTCCACAGACTCGGACAATTCGAAAGGCTACAGTGTTATAAATAAATAAAATTCGAGAAAACACATAGCTATTAACTCTTATACGTTCTTAGAAATCTCTCAGCCTATATTATCCAGTTTACTTTGAAGATTTAACTTTATGAGGTTAGGTCGTTGTCTGAGTGAATGGTAATAAATTAGATGAGGTTCCTTTCTCAAACTTTATTTTACAGCATCTGTATCTAAGTAATGGGGGTTGTTTCCATACGAAAATTAGCTTAAAGATAGTAAATGATTTTCTACTAGTTCTAGTAAGGGAAATGATATTTAACTTTCCAGTATACATATCGATAAGAATTTATTATCTTAGCATTATGAGGAAGTCGAATTAAAAATGAATAAAAGCTGTGGGAATACACTAGGAAAAAGGTGAACGTGACTAAAACTCGCTAACACAGCTAGAAGAGAAGAAGCGCTCAAACATCTCTCTAAATTATGTGTATACGTGAATGGGAAAGAAACTTCAAAAACTCAACGTTCATGAGCTTCAGGTTCGCAAAAACCAGTTAACACACGTTACTTTTGACTATCCTTAGATCCACGACCTTACTATTCCAGACCTCACGTCAATCTATTGTTTTAACCGTTGAATACTTACACCGTTGTCATGTTGTTGTAGCGTCATTACTTTGAAACTAATATGTCTTCTTACAAGGTATTACAAAAATATATATGCATTTGATATTTAGCCTGGAAATTGTAAGCGAGAAGAGTTCAGGAAGTATTTGGAAAAATCTGGAGTGATCGATGCACTCACAAAGGGTAAATTTTTGAAATTTATTACGTACACTGTACAGTACTTGTAGGTTTGTATGAAGAGCCAGAAAAACCGGATAATGCTCTAGAGTGAGTTGGAAATCTTTTTATATTCAAGCCCCTTAAAACGGTGTAATCAAAAAAGTATAAATGTGTACTACAGGGTGAACTGACTTTTATTATGTCATTTTTAAACAGTTACATATTCCCTGTGTTTTTGGAAGCTTTCGATAGTTGAGTACTACATGATTTTGATTTATAGGTCATATTTGACGGACCAAACATATAAGGGGGTGTTAAGGGTGTATTGATGATATTGTTGGAGATGATCACGAAGGAATGTTGGAAAATGTATCTGTACATCGAAATTCATGAAATATGTATTCACGTTTATCAGAACGATATTTCTCAACAAATTTATGCTTTGATTTAAGATCTGTTAATATTTGCAAGCAAAGTACAAACATACTGCTTCCATAGACAATAATTTCCCCCACGAATTTACATTTTATTGAATCGTACCCTCGATACCTAATCTCATCTATTACGACCAATCCTGTCATGCTCTCTATTACTCTGATACTCGATAAAACAATTTCATTTTGTCACGTTAGTTAGGCATGGTAATTTGAACAGATGTACGGAGGTGCTAGGTGTTACGTTGTTCGACTGACTCTCTTCTTCTGAGAAAGAATTATGTGGTCGCTACGTCGAAACAGTATTTTGGTCAGATTTTTCGGTACGGAGAATGACAGAGATGATATTCTTCGTGTTTTTTAAATCTGTTTTGATAATAAACCTGTATGTTGCTTTTATGTTTGTTCTCTTTGCTCGATAATGAATTGATTGAATGAGAGTTTGGACAATAATACCATCAAATGCACATTTAAACTATTTGAATAGTACACTAGTAAACAAATTTCAGGGTATAATTGGAATGAGTGGGTAACAAGCTGAACTGAAGCAGTGATAATTTTGAACTTACTTCAAAGTAAGTGTTTTTCATAATTGTAATGGGATTACATTGCTACAAGAACTACGAGCAACTACCATTCAGCTTCTGCTCCTTTGATTTGTTAAAACAGAGATTGAATACGAAACAAGAACAGCTGCTCTGCAAAGCTCTGAGACAGATTTCCAATTGTTTTGTAAAAATAGAAGTCTATTAACTTTTTTTAATTTACTGTGGTACCAAGTTTCCGTAGAAATATCGTGACCTCCAAAAATCCAGAAGATATTTGTGTCGAGTAAGGAGACGTCGTGAATCAAGACTTTTTATTTTCAAAATCTCACCCACCGGCTGAAAGTTCATTACGATGGGTTTAAATATCGCATCACCGTAAACTTAATCTGTAGCCAACTTAGAGTCATGAAAAAGTCAAGTAAAAACTAAGTGACTCATAACAAAAACTTCATAGCAGAGTATTGGCAAACGATCGTGGAAAATACGCCAAAATGAAAGCTGTCCTAATCATACACTCACATAATATTGACTTTAAATCACATGCAGCTCAGAGGGAAAGCTTTTTATACATGAAAATTTCAGTTCATGCGAGGATGTTCTATTTGGAATCAGTAATAGAACGAAGTCCACAAAAGGATCCAACACCTTATTATGACGGAAGGGAATTTAGTGACCAAAGACTTAAATGATTAAAGCGGGAGTAATTTATGAAGTGATCTTTCTCAGTGATATATTAAATCTAATCAAAAGTTCATAATTATACCCTGTTAATGATTACTTAGTGTTATATACAGTCCAGCCTCATCTATCAGTTATTAAGTGTAATTAAATCACATAAAAATTAGTGTATTTAGATAAATCTTTGACTAACTTCTGGGGTTAAATAATTCCTCATTATTCAACTTTCTGCCCTTAACAGTGTCGTTTGGCTAACTATTATTTTTTTATAGCATAAGATGTAGCTGTTGATAAATTTATATCATACATATAGGTACACTGTCAACATGGTATAAAGCAAGTCACTGACAGGTCTGGTGATGGCATTCCAGTTAATCCGTAGGCAGTCTTATAGGCAAAATCAAAATGTGTATGAAAAATATGTCTAGCTGGAAGTGGTAGGTTGAAAGACTAATGCATTTAAAAATCATAGTGGAAGAGATTACAACAGGTTGTTTTAAACGAATCCGGTATAGAGATAAATACGAACATGCTACATGTTCTCTTCAGAAAGATTACGAATGAAGAACAAACACAAACAAACTGGAAAGGTGAATAAATCATCAGGATAGCAATGAGAAGAGATCTGAGCAAGTGTGAAAACTACAGTGGCATCACACTATTATCAGTTTCCAGGAAACGTTTTCAACGAATTGTTGTTGAGCCGAATAGAAGATTCAGTAGACGCCCAACTTCAAGATCAACAGACCGGATTTCGTAAGGATCGGTTGTGCACAGACCAAATCACCACACTACGGATCATTATTAAACAATCAGTTGACTGGAACTCGTCACTATACATCAACTTCCTTGACTATTAGAAAGCGTTTGACAGTGTGAATAGAAGAACCATCTTCGACACTGTGGAGTGAGTAGCCGAGCAGATCTTCAACATCATACGACGAAGTACACTGTAAAGGTGTGCATGCAAGACAGCTGACAGATGCATTCCAAGTGAGAACCGGTGTCAAACAAGGCTGTTAACTCTCGCCTTTCCTCTTTCTTCTGATGGTTGACTGGATTATGAAGACCTCCATATCTCAGGGAAGCACGGAATACAATGGACAACTTGGAAGCAACAAGATGATCTGGACCTTGTAAATGACCTAACTCTTCTTTTATCCCATACACACCAACAAATTTAGGTGAAGACAACCAGTGTAGTAACAGCCTCTACAGCAATAGGCCTCAACATACACAAGAGAAAAAGCAAGATCCTGAAATTCAACACGGAGAACACCAACCCAGTCACACTTGATGGAAAAGCACTGGAGGAGGTGGAGACTTTTACGTACCTGAACAGCATCATCGATGAACAAGGAGGATTAGCAAAACGAAGACAGCATCCCTACAACTGAAGAGCATATGGAACTCAATACAACTGTCAACCAACATTAAAGTCACAATCTCCAATACCAACGTTAAGACAGTCCTACTGTACGGAGCTGAAACTCGGAGAACTACTACAACCATCATCAAGAACGTAAAAGTATTTATAAATAGTTTTCTACGTAAGGTACTAAATGACCGGATACCATCAGCAACAGCCCTCTGTGTGAGAGAATAAACCAGCTTCCAAGTGGAGTGGGAACTAGGAAAAGATGTCGGAGTTGGATAGGACACACGTTGAGAAAATCATCAGGCTGCATCACGAGGTAAGTGCTAACTTGGAATCCTGAAGGTGAAAGGGAAAGTGGAAGGCCAAGGAACACATTGTGTCGGGGAATGAAGGCAGACATCAAAATAACGAATAAGATTTGAGCAAGGGAGAGAGCTGGCTGGAGTTCGCTGTTCGGTTGCATTATGCTCTACAAGGGGTAACAGGTGTCTATGTGTGTATACACTTTAACTTGGTCTACTTTGTGTGGTATAATACTATGTATATTCTACCCTAGTAGGTATCTCCTAATGTTTATACAACAAACGAGCTGTTCGAACTCCGGAATAATTCCTATGATGGTTTAGCCGATTATCTTTCAAATCAGATTTCGTAAACTTAGTCCATTCTGTGATGTTTTAAGAACTTGAAACTCGACTACCTTGTCAGTAATGACTTGAGCTATATGTTCATTTCTGCTACTGATACGACTGTTTATCGTGACTGTGGAATAATCGATGGCACGAAACTCCTATACTAACAAAAGATAGAAGCAAGACGGTAGAAAACTGCTTTATTCACTAACCATTGATAAGACCACATTCAGAACAGTTGTAACACAAAGAAGAGCGGCATCAGCTTAAGCTGACAAGAAGCCTATGCAATGTTCGTGAACAGTCGTGGGTAGCGAAAGCAAGAGAGATGAAAAAAGCAGCGTCATTAGGTAATAGCAGACAATTGTTCAGACTTGTTAAGGAAACCGACTGTTAGCGAAACACTCTCAGAGAAAGATGGACATATTATACATTCTCAGTCCAGGAGATTGGATCGATGGGCAGAACACTTTAGGGATCAGTTCAACTGGCCTTCAGCCACACGTCGGTTTCTTACGATCTCTAGTCAACCTGAATGGTAAGTTAATGTAGGTCCTCCAACTCTTTACGAAGTTGAATCAGTTTGACTAATATAGTGTCTAAAATATTAGCTTCAATAATACTTTGACGTCTAACCAAAGCTCGTGATGAACAGACTAGAGAAAATCAGGCTGCTTTTCGACCTGAACGTGCTTGTATAGAGCAGATATTCACACTACGTCAGGTTCTAGGACACAGACACACATTCAGACGCGCCACAATAGTAGTATTTCTCGACCTTCAGGCATCATTCGACTCTAATGATCGTGATGTTATGTGGGAGTGTTTGTCACTGAAAAAAGTACAAAAGAAGCATATTAACCTAGTAAAGGCTCTCTACTCGAACACAACTGGTTGAGTGAGAGCTTATGGCGAACTGTCATCAGAATTGATTAGGTCAAGTGGTGTTCGTCAGAGCTGTCCACTCTCTCCATTCTTGTTTAATTTTTTCGTTGACGTGCTCTTAAACATAACACTTTCCTCATCTAAATTTCCAGGGGTTGAACTTCTACCGGGAGACTCACTTGTTGACTTAGAATATGCCGATGACATAGTTCTATTTGGTGAAAACGCTCACAAAATACAGTCTTCTGACCACTATAAGCAACATTGCAAGCATGTTCGGCATGCGATTGTCTCCCTCGAAACGGAAAATATTGCTTCAGGATTGGGTTGCATCGACAAGCAAATCAATTGATGAATTAGTGAAACTTCATCAGTTGAGATGGCTGGGACATGTTCAGTCAGTCAACTACAACGTAGGACCAAGTACCTATATGCATCGGTACAAGTTGCCATACCTCATTAACACAACAAGATGGACACCGGATTCATAAAAGTAGTTAATTCAGAGGTGGTAATATATAAAAGAAAGATTGCATATAAGGATATAGTACAG